TCATTTCTTTTTCAACCTAGCAGCATGCAGCCAAACTGAGAAAATATAAATTATTAATTGTGAACACTAAGCAATGACAGGCTCTTGCTGGGCTGGAGACCAGTCAATGATGTCATAAAAATACCACAGGACTAAACAAATTTGATTCTATCACACTGGGAAATCATTGTTTTTCTGAGTATTTCTCTAAAACACTGCTGTAAGAAAACTGGGGTAAAAGCAGCCACTCACCATTTTCCTTCGTGGCCAGATTTCCTAGTGAAAAAAGATCTTCATTGTAAAAATCAATAGAAAGCACAGCCAAACACCATCAATTCTAACTTAAGACAGATGATGATGATAATAACACAGACAAGGCACCTTTCAATTAATGCGCTGACAGTAACAGAGTGATCAATCAATTTAACGCCTTGGTGGACTGGTGGTTAATGGCTGAATAGCCAGTGGTCAGTGGTTGAAGGATCAGAAAGTTCTGGACAAATCTGGGCTCTTGCTTAAAGGTTTTCTCCACTAAAAAAATTACAAGTATTATCAAACAGCAGACAAAATAAAATAAATAAATAAATAAATAAATAAATAAATAAATAAATAAAAAGTCAGGGTAGGAATTTGTCTATCAATACTCTCCATTACCATTCCCCTGAGATTTTTTATGCTACCTGTCCTATAATATTTACATACAGATCTCATTATTTTACATTCTACTTCTTATAACAACCACAATATACAGGGAGGCGAGTACTAATACCTGCAGAATTGCCTAAGGAGGGGGGAGGAGGGGTTAACCCCATTTTCTTGATGAAGATGCATGATCTTGATAAAATTTAAACCAAAATAATTTGTAATTTTTAACAAATCTGCTTCCTTCAAGACTCTTGAAATAAGTTATTTTGCTGAAAAAAAAATGCTAGCGTGATGTAGCACAGAATCTGGTGCATCTGGTCGGCTGAATAATTAATGTGTTGTTGATATTATTGGCAAACTGTGGTGCCTTAAATAAAGAAATATTGACCATGGAGAAATATATAAACTTTTTCAGTGTGATCAAGAGAAAAGGCAAAAGAAACAAGGACACAGAGAGGTGAGGACAGTTCAGGGACACACACACACAAATGGTTTAGTAAATATTTAAGTGCAACTATACATTCAATATCAAATATTTTATTAGTAAACCCTTTAAACTTAATTATATTCATAAGAGTAATTCACTCACTAGTAAAACAAAAAAATTCAAATTGAAGATATTTTTTAAAACTTTTTTCAAATAACTCAAAACAGTGATTATGTCACGCTAACAAAGCTCTTCAGTGAAGGTTTGAAATGTCATGCCTCTTAGGTAAAAAAGAGTTTATCTCTATACAAAGGATGTACTTTCTTATAGTTCTAATTTTATATACTAGTAACATGTAAAGTAATGAAAAAAAAATGTTAAGAATTCTTCAGCACTTTAATAGCTTGAAGACTCAGAGTTTTGTGCAACTTGCAGAAACACTGTTTATACTGTCAAGTCTGACATATTGGTTAGGCATGTGCGGCACAGACTGAGTGGGCAAAATTTACTTATCTTTACTATTTTCTAAGTAATAACCACTGACACATCAGTATGACCTTTTTCCCAGCAAATGGTAAAATTTTCTGTACCACTCCAGTTATAGTGGTAGGCAATTTATAGTCCTTAATAACCTGGCTATAACATAAAGGAATCATCAATGGCCTCAACAGAATAACCAGGGTTGGCGTGGCCAGTCTACTGATATTGATCCACTGGGGCTTGTGAAAGGAAGTACCCAGCCCCCTCCTCCCCATAGCGTAATTAAACCTGGTACCATACAGAAAACTGTACCGATTAATGTGAAAAGACTGGGAATATGAACAAGTCCTGCTTATGTAATAAGAGACTGAGAGCTTTGTGTGTCTTTTTAGAACTTATTTAAATCATAAATCATATCTGTTATATCGGTTTTGGTTAAACAAGACTGACACAGACTGTGCAAGCAACATTCACTTTTCTTCACAAAGCATTTTATTCCGTAACCACTGCATCGCAGCACTATGCCTTCATCCCACAGGCACTCACAACATCATTTCTCTCTCTGTCTCGAGTACTGAGCAGGAAGTAATCCCAGCTAATGGATTAACCGTATGACATTTCACTGTGGATTCATGCCTTGTTAGACACTATTTTTGTCTCAGACAAATGTTGGATGGAGAAGGAAATTGTCTGCCCTGTGGACAATACCTGCATCAATACTGTCTTAGCTGTGGAAATGAAAAGCGTTTTAGCCGGGACTGAAATCCTAAAAGGCCAGTTCAAACAAAGCAACCTCATTGACTGCATTGACTGAGTTTTATTCCAGCTGAAGACCCTGCTTTCTTTTCGTGATTTTTCAAAGAAAGATAATTCTCACAATTTAATTTCATCAAACTCTTTAGTTGAAAAATTATAATAAAAAGCATGAAATATTAATTTAATTTAATTAATAAAATAATAGCAATTTATAATTTCATTAGTCTGAATTATTGCAAGTGGAATTCCCTTTTTAAAGGTATCATCTGCTTCAAGACATTTCTCTTATTAAAGTCCTTTATTAGAACCGCATTCAATATCATAATACCTCCCACTCAGACAAAGTTTGAAGCAGAAGGTACCAAGGAAAGCATCTTTTTTTCTTTGCTCCAACAGATGAGAAGGGCAAACCACATCCTCAGTCTCATGTTCATTTTTAATGGGAAGCTGACAGAACAGGCATGATGACAATGTGTCTAATAATAATTCTGTGGGAACAAAAGAAAAAAAAATAGAATTTTCATGTTCATTTTTTATACCCTAAGTTTCATTCCAGCTGAAGACAATCTTGTTTTCCTAAATACCCATGTAACCTTCAGTTGTTCTCAACTTCATAAGTAAAATGCTTCATCTCATTCTGACTAAGCCTATTGAATTTTCAATGTCCTTGGATGCCAAAACTTGAGAGAGATGGTTGCAAACATGACAGTTAACATGTAGACAACTGAAACACAGGGTACTACTTGAATGATGTTTGCATTAATGGAAGGATCTAGCACAATGGAAATATCTAGCACTTTTTTTTTTTTTTTTTTTTTTTTTTTTTT